GGGTGGTGGGTGTTTCTAGTTTGTTTGTTAAGATGTGAAAATACAGCTGACGTTTCCAGAAATGTCTTCCTAATAATATTAGTTGAGCTATTGCTAGTTTCCCTCAATTTGATGGTCTGACTGCACCACCTTTAGCACAACACCAGCAGCCTGCCTAAGTATTCATCTGGCCAGCAGTGTAGAGCAGGTGTGGGAGGGAATATACGCCAGCTGTGGGCGGGCAAGGCTCAGGCCTCTTTCACTCCAGTGAATACCGCCATTGATGCCTGTGGGAACAGACTAGGGTCTTGAACTTTTCACGATTTTTCTGTACGCGTTAAAAGGAAACAACTATGAGAATGAACAAATCTTCATCTTTTTAATGGCAGGCATTGTGCTTAGATGTTGACTCTTAAAAGGACAGAAAGCCCACAAATGCATAGGTTCTTTTCCCTTGTAAGAAAGCATGCTTTGCTTCATAGCAAAGATGCTACCCCAAAGCCTGGAGTGCCTCATATTTAAGGGAATTCATTGCTGTTACAGAGTCCAGTGGGAATCAACTGAGAAAAATACAGCAAACGTATCTCCTGTGCTACAGAGCTCAGTTCTTTGAAATTGTTTGCACATAGCATAATCCTACAATGTGTTAATGTTCTTCCCTGAAGTTCTGGGGAAGATGAGATTGGCTCACCTCCAGATAGGCTTGATCCTGCTAATTCTTGGTGTTCAATAATCTCCAGCAGGCCAATAACATGCTGTGAATTAGCAAGGATGGGGGTGCACACGTCCTCTTTGCTTGCCTGCCACCTACCCTTCAAGCTAAAAAGGAAAAAAAAAACCTATTGCAGCTGTTTGCAGAATCCTGTCACCACAGTTTTTCCACTTGTTTTAAGAGATCTGAAAAGACAGTACCAGGTCATCTAGAAGTAAATTGAGTATTTCTTTTTTCAGTTAAGAGAATGAGCTCTCCTAATTTTTGATGGTGGATATACTGGTGTGTATGTAAAACCAATGAACAGAAGGTAGCTTTGGAAAATGAGTTAAATCCCTAATGGCTTTGCTTAAAGAAAACTGTACACCCTCGAAAAAATAAAAGCAGCTTCTGCTGGCGGAAGGATGTAACAAATCTTTTACTTGTCTTAATGTTCCTTGGCTATCTCATGCTTGGGTTATTGTGCTAGCTGCATCAATAGATCTTCCCTTTGGCCACCCTTTCCAGGCTGGTTGAAAGCTTATGGCTCTATAATTTACCACTGTCCTGGACTTATTACTTATCTTATTACACTGGATGCCCAAAAATCTTATTACAAATTTGGAAGAGAAGGATTGAGGGCAATGAGCTAGAAACTCCAGCCAGTGGGAGCAAAAGCTGCCAAAATGCTGCCTTTTGTGGATGTTACCAGTAACTGGCTTCTCTCAAGACTCTGCCACTGATTTACCTCCTGCCACCCTGCCCCTTCCGTTCCTGCCTTAGCTGCCCTAACGTCATCTTCCTACTCCTCCCTTTCAACTGTGGAGCTTGCACGCTATTTGCTGTCAGTGCAGGGGACGCTGTGGATGTGTCACACCTCTCCCCTCACTCTTTACCTCTCCAGGCTGGAAGCTCCTAGGGGACCATCTTCCACTCTGTGTTTGTGCAGTCCTGAGCACAATGCAGCTAGCTGCCTTCGTTCCGTTTGTAGTGGAAGTGGGCAGTGGGACCCACATACTTCATTGAGCTTGTCCTGTGTATTCAGAGGGGCCATTATCTTATTACAGATTTTATTTTTTTACTTTTGCTCCTTTTGCTGCTCGTTTTGCTTGTAAATTTAACTTTTATAAAACTGTTTAATTTGAAGTGACCTTGCCTGCGGAGTTGACTGTGTGATGATTTTGGCAGGTCCTTTTTAACGTACAGATTTTAACATACAGATTTTTTTACAGACTTTTTATCAAAAAAGGATGAAACCTCCCCAGATTTGTTGTGCACACTTTCAGTGGATATCTCTTGGAGAAAATCTCTGCAGAGAAATGCACAGGTTTAGTTGGCATTCCCAGCTTAGATTGACTGTTTCTTCTTGCCCGAAAGTACTACTGCCATATTGCTCAGCGTTCTTATGCTTGTGGTCAGAGCTATGTAAATTCTAACAGGCAGAATGGATAATAATATTTATACAAGTTTTTCCTGTTTTACAGGAACATGTGGATGATGTAACTATTGTGCAGGAAAAAAAAGGAAACTGTGATGAAATTAATATAGACAAGGTATGCTTTGTCTTAATTCTGTAAAATTTAAAGCAGTTCAGCATCTAAGGTATGCACAGAATTTGAAACAAGAAGTGTTGTGCTTTATTGTTAGTCTGTGCCAAAATTGCAGTGGGTAGAGCTCTGCTTAAAATGTACCTTCCATGGGCTAAGTCCAAAATGTATAGCTCCAGTGAATGTCAGAAGGCTTGAACTGGCTGATTAGGTTAAATACACCTTTGTTGGCCTCTCGTCACTGTTGGCAGTTTCGGTGTAGCTACTACCTGCAGTTAGAGGATTAAACGTATTTGATACAGCAGAATGTTCATTTAAAATGCCACTGTAAAAAGCATAGTTCTGGAGTTAAGCATGTAAAAGGATAAAATGCAACTTTCTAATTACCCTTCTAAAATACAGAAGGTATCTAATCATCTTATTCTTCTCTCATGTTTTCATTGTGAATTAAATTAACTGTCAAGTAACACACAGAAGATGAGGTCTTTTGCTGTTTTTTCTGCATGCTAGGTGAGACGGCAAGCTCTGCAAGAAGAAATTGATAGAGAATCTGGCAAAACTAAGGTTTTCAGTACCAAAGTGGAACCGGTATGTATACATTGAGACCTTGATCTGATAAAAATATATTGTCAAGAGCTACTTCCTGAAAATGCACCGCACTCTTTTCTGTATGCGGATCATGTACGTGGCTTGGCACACCAGTCTTCCTTCCGACTGTAAATTTAAGGTCATGCTATAGAACAAATTAGTGCAATCTCAAGAGAGTCTGGGGGCAGAGCAGTGAACTACAACAGCAGTTGGAGCTGTGCAGAGTTCTAAATCCCATCATCAGTCCTGAAAAGCAACATTTTCTCTGGCTGCTCTGGAGAATTAGCCAAGATAAATTGCTACAAAATCATTTTCTGCTTATTGTGAAATATAAATAATGCTGCGCCATGGATATAGCTGTCACTGAATTTTATCTATATTGTTATGTGAAAGAATTTGAGGACATTCAGCAGTGGGGATGCAACTGGAAAGCGGAAAGGACGACAACTTAAAGTGCACGCATGCGATGCCTACAGTCAGTCCTCTCTGAACGTTCTACATCTCGCCTCCACCTCTTTGAAAGATGCTTCTTTGTTCTTTGCATTTGCAGCCTACTCAGCCTGTGTCCTGACAGGTTTACAGTAACACAGCAGTACTATTGCAGTAGCCTTTAGCACAGTAAGGCCATTCGGGAGGAGAGAAAGCTTTACAAATAATTCAGGATTCTTAGTTGTCTGCAGAACTATTCCACAAGACTGACAGTATGCCTAGAAAGTAGAAACATACCTCAGACAAATGCCAGAAACAACTAACGTAAATTTGTGTAGTGGGAGGCAGACTACGCCAGAGCTCTGGAACTGCAACTATCTACCCAGCTCTGAAGTCATTGAGGAAAATGACATCTTTGGCAGGGAATCCCAGTTCTCTGATGCGGAACTGTCACTGGTTATTAGTTCCCTGAAGAACAAAAGCTATGAAAACTAATTCATGAGCTTCACAAAGAGTAAGCTGGAAATGCTGCAGCAAAAGCTACATGTAGTGATTGCCAGCAGTTCACTTTAAAAAAAATTATGGGGTTTGAAAAGCTGCAGTTATTTCTGCACGTGTGCTGGTATCTGTCTCTCATTCCAAGGGGAGAACAAATGGGGGGGGGGGCTGTTTGTGTGTGTGTGTGTGTTTGTCTGTATGTAAAAGTCTTGTTCAGCCTCGCTCAGGTCATTTTGGAAAACAGACTGACTCTTTCTTTTGAGCCTTCATTTGCCAACATAACTGTTTTCATTTTCCACAGCCCTTTTGCCTGAAACATTTATATAATTGTGTGTGTGTTTGCCTGTGTCACAGACCACGGCTTCTACAGCAGCTTGTCTTCGAGTAAGGTAAAAATACTAAGTTGTTATTATGTAAGGCTTTCTTTTAATAGTAAGTATTCTAGCCTGCAATAACGAAGGATATTCTAGCCCTGCATTTTTGTAATCTAGAAAACCTGCTGCTACAGCTTGCCTCCCAATATTGTGTAGCATACTGTGTGTCGTGTTGGCTGTCTAGGAGGGAATGACTGTTTCATGCAAGCTACAGCTGTTCATTTGGAAGGATGTCAGGCTCACGTGAACACAACACTAAATCCACTTTTTTCCCTTTGATGTAGCCATCTCAGTCTAATTAATGACCAAACATTCTTCTGTTAACAGCACCCCCAATTTTGAAGAAAAAATAGGAGTAGCGGTCCTGCCAAAAACAAGTTAGAAATGACTACGTATCTCCTAGCTTAGGAGTCAAATAAGATCCTTAGCTAATGAAGCGTGTTCTTAGGGAAGCCAAAAGTTCATAAACTTCCTAAACCATATGATGTATTTTGGATTATCCACAAAAATAAATGGTTGAATTACAATTGTACTTGAGACATTACCTGTCTCCTCAGAGAGGAGCCAATGAGAGCAAACAAACTAAAATCCTGAACACGGTGAAGGGCAGAGCTAACAAATGGCAAACGGAGAGGGAGGGGAGGGTTAAGAGTATTATGTTTAATCCTGTTGGTTAAGGATGTGTCCTCAGTTTTGCACCCTTGTAATTAGTGATTTGTGGGAATGAGAACATAATTGTTACTTAAAGCATATGATGAACCAGATGGAACGCCGTCTCCAAAACTAACATAACAAAACATTGCTGAAGACAACAACTACCTAACTAGACAGCAGGAAAATGAAAAGAGAGCTCTAAGAAGTGACAGAGTGAAAGAGACAGACAGATGATTAAGTCTGAAAATTGTCTTAGGATAAGAGAAATGGTAGGGGAAGGTCTTGCTCTTTGAGCTAAATACTCTCCAGAGAGCAGAAAAGTCAGATTTCTACAGAGGGAGGGGAGATTCTGAAACTGCATTAAACCTTGTCTCGAGGCTAAATGAACTGAAATGCTAATGTAGATGCACTTATGCAAGGTTATGTCATCCTTTTATCACATACCTCAGTAAGTAAGTAAGTAAGTACTGCAAGTGGAATGACTGTTTCCTAGCTCTATCAGTCCTGCCTAAGTTTCAGTAGCTGGTTCTGTTCTCAGGCCAGAGAGATCTGGCTGTGTGCTCCTTAGCCTTGGTGTTATTTAATTTTAGTGTTAATTTTGTTTTATTTCACAGGATGCAAAGTTTGGCCAGTGGAGTACAGCTGCTTTTCAAAGTCCTGACCGAGGAATGAAGTTTCTTAGACTGATGGGCGGTTTTAAAAAGGGCTCCATGTCTATCCAAGATCTCTCAGCAACTACAAACAAACCAAACATGGCTCTGAGCAGGGAAGGGGAGGAGAAGTTACAGCAGGCCCTGAAAATGGAATTTGATAAAGCAATGGACTTGAAGCAACACAGAAGAATTGGTCTTGGATTCCAACCTGCTGCCACCAAAAAAGTGTACATAGACAAATACACATCTAGATCTATAAAATTTGAAGATTAAACTGTTAAGTAATAAAAAGAATTAAAATTCAACAAGCAAATTTTTTTTGCTTTCCCTTTTTACTTGAAATAAAATACAAAAATGTTTAAAAAAATTGGATTTATGAGGTAATTTCAGTACAAGTTTTTGGATACTGGATCCTACAGTGTCTGTGGAGCTGGGTCTTCACTTCAGCTGAACACTGAAGTTTTTGAAACCTTTATAATGCTTTTTACAAGGCAAGAGGCAGCCTTCAACAAAGACTGAAGATGTGTGGGCAAAGCTTGCAACAAGTTGCAGCTTGGTAAATGTTTTTTTATGATGTTGATTTCATAATTAGCTACATCAGTGATTCAAAGGGGATTTAGTATTTGGTAAAATCTTCACGTTTTTGCACTCCGGGAGTGGTGCGAAGCGATGGCTTTTTACTTTGAAGAACTACTGATACACCCATAGACTGGACAAGAGGAGGATTTTTAATCTGAAGGTGGATTCTTATTTAGCATCTTTGTTACAATAATGAATATTGTTGAATATTCTGTGTATTTTACTATGCTGTGGCAGTTTCATTTTCAAGAAGTTGTGCTCATCTGGGTAAATGAAGATAAACGCTTTCTGGATAGCAGCACCAACTACATGGATCTAGATTTGCTAAATTATAGAAAGCAAGAATTTTAATAGGGTGCTTATGGGTTTCACTATAAATCAGTTTGAATGAAATTTCTAACCTTTGGATTTTTCAGTCATGTAAACTGCACTTTCATTGGCTTGTTAGGAGTTCAAAAAAAAAAAAAAAAGGCAGTTGCATGTTTATTTGCAGTATGTATTCAGGAGTCCAGAACAGTCTAGCAGTGTCTTGCTTGAAGTTATGAAAAGATAGTGGAAAACTGTCATATTTTAGTATTGGCTCTGTCATTTGTTCTGAGAGATACTGTTCTCTGAAGTCTCACTGTAGCTCCAGTTCTTAAACAGGACAAAGTGAACTTTTCTTCCATCCACGCCTACAGTAGGAATAGTGGCCTACTTGAGGGGGGGAGGGTGGAGAGGAAAAAACAAACAAACAAAAAAAACCCCAGCAACTCCCTCTTCCTCTGGTCGGGTTACTATTTCCACTTACTCAGTTCCTCTTTTTTTCTGATGAACCGCCTATCATTTTTTGCTCAGATGATACCTGCTCATCTACTATTCTTGACTCTCTTTAAGGCAACCTCTAATTCCACAAGGCCTTCTCCCTTGGATCACTCTACCTAAAAGCGGCTGCCTCCAGGCAGAACCTGTGCTAACAAAGCAGTAGTTGGTTCCAGTGCACTTTGGGCAACTCCTGAGGGGAAATTAAAATGATGTGGAGGCTCTAGTGTAAGCAGTCACCATGGACTGACCCATTCCCAAACACGGGAAGCAGGAAATGCTGAACCACTTCTTGGAGGGTCTGAGCTAACTTTTGAGGAAACTCTGTCCTTTGCAGCATCATTTAAAACCACCACTACCTCAGGTGAGGGACTTGCTCTGTGCCACTGCTTCTCAAAACTGAGTGACTGGCTTCACAGTCCTTTCTTGGCTTCAGCTGTGCTTTGCATAAATTCAGACAGCAGAGCTGTCTTACCACCTAGAACTTGCATCTTTTTGTTAGCAGTGCAACAAACAGCGCCACAGCGCCAAGGGAGCACGTGTTCCCCTCACATTTCCATCTTCTCTTCTGATTTAAGACAAATGCTGAATTCAGGCCCTCAAATACTTGTCCAGCAATAAATAAGTAAGAGGAACAGGTAGGAAAACGTCAACTAGTGACTTCCTTTAGGAGGAGAGGAACAGGCACGTATGGCTTTCTGCTGCAGAGCCAGCCTTGGAAATGTTCCCCCTCATGAGTTGCCCAAAATGCACTGAACCCAGCCTTGGACTTGTCTTCCTTGCACTGTTTGTGCTGAAGATGCTGAAGTATTTGTTCTGGCCTTGCCTTTAGAGGAGGACTTTTTTTTTTCCCCCTCTAGAATTATACAGTAAACACCACTATGTTGCTGGAGGATAGCTCTGTGGATGGCCCGGCCCCTAGCTCTTGATGAAACTGTGCATATGTAAATGGAGTAGTTTGGCGGGGTGGGGGGAAGTCATCTGGAAAAGCCTGGTTCAAGTAGTCAGACTTGGTCTGGTCTGTATGTTTGCTATATACAGAAAAAAACATTAGGTCTATTTTAAGCCTGGGAGAAAGCCAAATTAGATTGGTTGGGTTAGCCTCTGAACTATACGTTTAGAGTTTGTTCCCGATAACTAACCAGAGCTTTCTGCCTGCCATGAGCTACTTTTGCACTAATAAAAACAGAAGTAAAACGTGGGATACGATTTCACATGGCAGTCTTGCATCATTAAAGAAACCAAAAGTTGTATTGTGCTCAAAAGACAACAGTCAAAAATTGTACATATGGGGAAGAGGAGAGTTTGGGGCATTAGTAAGCCTGCCTTAGGAGTTTCCATTGCACATAATCTGAAACAACTCCACTCTGGGTTTATAGCAGCACATTTGCCCCTGGAGAGGGACTTCTACCTTCACCCACAGCTGTTTACTATGACCCACCAGCCTGCTTAGAGAACTCGGGGTTTAATCTCACTTACCCAGTTTGTGGGCTAGGTTTCCAAGCCCAACAGGAAGAATCATCTACCTAATGAGAGTTGTTGTGTGCGGCTGCAGCAAGAAGGAAAGCTAAATTAAAGGGGGATATGATAACACATTTGCAGTACTGCCACTTCACTATCTATAGTGTGTGCTTTATGCAAAGTTATTTAAGGAAAGTCAGTATAATTAAAATAGCTATGTACTGAAGGTTGGAAAGGTTCTGTGGCAGGTTGATGCCACTTCATAATTATCTAGAGTTCCTATAGTTTACTTTGCTTATACATATAGTCTATACAAGCCTATGTTACAAGGGTTTTGTCCCTTACAACCTGAACACAAAATACATACATCTACTCTGCTTCCATAGCCACTCAAGAGAAGAAAAACATGGAACAATGAAGGAATGTTTAGTAATTTGGGTGACATATTAACGCTCATCAGCCTGCTAACTCCTTGAAGATACGGGCCTAGCAAAACTGATTACATGTTTAGCCTTAACAAAGTAACCTTTTTGTGCAAAATATATATTACTATCCACATACAGATTTAGCTCAGTAAACTACTCGCCAGTAAGCAAAAGTAGCAATAAATAAAAGCCCTCAGTATGGTTCTTTATCACAGGACAGAAATGAGACTGAAATTTATTACACAGTACAGCAGAAGATGTAACTAAATTCCAGAATAATTAAGTGATAAGTGCTGTATACACAAAGAAACTCCCCCAGAACAAAGAGAGGAACTGTAAATTAACTGTTTTATTCAGTCACACAGTGCACTTTGAGAATACAGAGTACTTTGAATGTGTTTCTATTTTCCTTTGAAATAGCATTTAAGGATTCCCTCCATTTTATAAAATGCCACTGAACTAAAGTGAAAGCATAAACATGTCTGTGAAAATGCATTGCAGAAATTAGAACAGCAACACCTCAGCCATTTTTCTCTTTTACTGGAACTGACCATACAAATGTTGGCAGCATCCCAAGTGGAAAGATGACTTATTAGGATTATCGAATTGAGACACTGATTTTTACACGGAGAGAGACTGTTCTACAAGTGAGATGAAGTCTGGAGGCAGTGAATTGATCTCTGCAGATTGTCTTCTTCCACCGTTACTAAAATAACATCAGTTTAGGTTTGGAAAGGCTTTTGCCACCACAGAAGTTCGAAATATCTTTTACTGAATCTAAATTAGCATTTAAAATAAGAACGTAATGGCAGAACTGGAAACAAAAATTCAGATCAAGTTATTGCGCCCTCAGAACAGTTTTACCTTTGTCCAAGTAAATCTGTCATGCTGTAAGTAAAATGAAAATACACTGAGCTCCAGTCAAAAACTAGAAGATTATGGCCTTAGATTTATGGCCTTGGATACATGCCCTCTGGACAGATATCTCCTTGGAAAAGCAGCATTCATCAGGTCCTGGACTGCAGAGGAAGCCGAAGGGCCAAGTCTGTGAAGTGACTCATTTCAGGTTGTTTGCTTCGCCTCTTGATGTATTCTAGTGTTTTTACCTGGGTATGAAAAGGAAGAGAGTTTGAGATTTTTAGTCTTTGTCTTTTCTCATTTCAAAATCCATCATTTATGCCATGTGAAGGCGTTTCAGCCAACTCTGATTTCCCTAAGTTCCACTGGATGCATGATCACTTGCATTTCTCATTCCAGAGCTGGCTATCATGTACATCTCCCTTAAGCAAGGCTCAAAAATGTCTACTTTCCAAGCCTAGACCATGCAGATCCTCCACTAAATAAAAACGCTGTATGTCTCTTAAAGCGTATATTTTCTGAATTGAAAAAAAGTTCTAGGACCCATCATCTTCAGGTTTTTTAAATTAATGTGTGAAATACATTTTAAAATGCTAGAAGGACACTAGACCAATCCAAATACGCGAGGTTGCCTGTCCATTAAAAAGCATTGTAAAAATAAGTACCACCTATTATCCCAGGCTAGAGAGGGTTTTTGTTTTTGACAAGAACTACTTGCAGACCGGAAAACTGAGACGTGAACTTCCATCCCATTTTATTCAGTGCTCAGAATGGAAAAGGCCACCAATTATTTTTATTCTGAAAAGACTTCAAAGTAGAATTGCCAGTTATGTTTTCTTTCCTCCCTCATGCAAATGCTGTTGTAATTTACTGAGGTATCAGATTTTTTTTATCCCATTCAAAACATTTTTTAAAGAGAGCAACTCATAAAGAGGTCAGGTTTATTTAGATCAAGCAAGTAATTTTACCTTTCCCAAATGGAGGAGCGGGGGGAGAGATCTTAAGAACTAAGATTTCTCTGCATTATCTGTTTTCCTTACCATGGTCTTGGTGTCAGCAAAGCCATGTTTCTGAGCAAGATTCCAGAGATTGACTGAAAGCTGGTTTAGTTTGTTGTTTCGTAGATCCCCATGAGCTAAAATAGTGTTAAAGAAATAGAGCGCTAACTGGCTCTGTCGCTTCAGAGTCTATAACGAAGAAAACAAAACAAAACAAACCTCACATTATCATGCAGTCATCCTAAAATACCTGGCATAACCTAAGAGACAAGAAGCTCAGAAAAGTGCAAGGGGCAGGCAATTTTTCTGTAATGCACATCTGTCAATAATTGTGGCTGGAAGAATATGAGCAGAAGAAGTGATATTCATTGAGTCCACTTTTGAACTAACCTAAGTTGCTGCAAATCAAAATAACCCCTGACTCCTGTATCTCATAGCACTTTGGCACAACATACTACTACGCAGTTCACACACACAAAAAAAAAAAACCCTCATGACTTATCGTTGCATAATAAAATCACTCTCCCACCAACCAACCTTGCACTTACCTCAAGTCAGCACGGTTTTAAATTTCTAGATACCATGATCATTAGTCTAGATGAATGCAAGTCCAGCAGTCTTACAAATTAATTATTTCTACTTTTATTTCTGATGACAGATTTTTCCTGCTATTCTTTCATTGAGACCTAAGTGACACCAACATACTTGCACCACACTTGCAGTTACCCTCCCTAAAATTCCTGAGGAGAGACCCTCTCCTTTTGTGGTAATCTGCTGTGGATGAGCACCATCCCCTTCAACCTCTACAGAGGAGTTCTGGGGCTCGGACAATCCTGTACCAAACTTAAATGCTGCTACCACCCAGATTTGGGGTGAGTGTAAACAGGAAGCAATCAAGATAATATTGCAGGTCTACAGATCTACAAATGTTCTACTTCCTCTTTTGCCCATTCCTATCCAATAAACTTAAAAAGGCTAGAAGGATGAATTATTATTAGATGTATCTGAGACATACTATTTATTTGTTTACACTGCCTGGCTGCAGTTGGGCTTTGTATTTTTGCTCAAGACCGACCACTGCTAAAAGCAGAGCTCCATCTTATACAGAAACAGCAGCAGCAGAGAAGTAATTAGACCCGAGCTGACTGCCAGCTCACCACCCTGATCAATGAATTTAACACCTCACCCCTCTAAGTTCAATGCATGTTAGCAGTGTTCAGGTTCAGAGTTACAGGGAGCGCGAGAAGAAGGTAGGGTCAGGGGAGTGCGCTCTCCTAGCACGATACAAGGCAGCCGCACAGCCTGTGCCCTTTCCCTAAGGGATGGGAAGTAAATTAGTTTCACTTCTCACTGTCAATAGAAGAGAGGTCAGATGCTATTAATCAAAGAAACAGCACAAACCAAACTATCAGTCCTCCAAATAAATATGAAAGACGAGAACGCCATTCAAGAACCGTCTAGCCAGAAAAGAGGACACAGTACGCCTCAGATCAGAAGCATCAGACCTGCTGCACGTGAGCCACACAGTCAATCTGTGCATGCAGAGCTGTGACACAGCTATCGCACGCACAAATGCAGCTTCCAGGGCTGCTTAAAGGCCCCAAGAAAAGTTCTCTAAGCGCTGAATTAATTACATGAAACTACCAAGATGAGAGATCGTCCTGCAATACTTAAGATATTCTAGCAATTTTCATCCCAGTGGCTCCTGTTTACAGGCTGAAACTACAACCACTATTTTATCCAGGGTTGAACTGTACTCCCTACCAGATAGAGAAACAGTCAAGCCCAGCAATGGTATCATGAAGAGCACAAACGCTTCTGAAAGACATGCAATGGAAAGAGTAGCTGTCAATGCTTAAGTACTACAGTATTTCTCTTGTAGAACTAACATCCTTGTGGGGGGGGAATAGAGTATACAGCCTATTAGCCTGTGTTTTGTCATGTTACTCACGAGACATATAGCCTCCCTCCTGCCCCATCACCAGGCAGCCTGGATTAGCAAAATGAGGTGTTACCTGTTCGGTTTTTGTTTTTTCCCCAATCATCGAATACCTGTTCATCTTCCACTGAATACAAACTTCAAAGAGGTTCCCGGAGGTTGCTTCAAGGTTCCCCCGTAAGAAGTGGGACAGTTATATTATAGGGCAGAATACAAAACCAGCAGTACTCAGGAGTCTGAATATCACTAGCAAGGTTTTCCAGGCAACATTTATGCAAATACACAATTTTTTTTTTTTTTTTAAATACAGATGGTATTTCAACTCATTTGAAATACATCTACTTCAAAAAGGACCATACTTCAAAGAGGATCTAGGAAGACATTGAAGAGAACTGGAAGACTGTGATGCACATAACTAACTCCCAGGATACTGGGGAAGGTTTAACAGTCACAGACAGGATTTTGGGATCCCATCTGTTACACAATGCAAAGTGAAGAGAGAGAAGCTCAGGTATGCAGTAAATCCTACTATG